CAAAGAAGAAAAAATAAAAAAAATATGAGGGTCAAGGCGTATCATTCCCGTATCACTCATCTGCTCCTTCTCAGAGTCTCGTAGCCTTCGAGTATGAGTTGCAGATGTTTATCTCTCTGGATGTTACACGATCTGAGATAGAGAATAGGCTGGTGAGTCAACTTCTCACTCTGCATAAAGGTGCAGCAAAAATGCTCCAAGTGGGACGTCGCTCTCTATCTTTCTTACATTTAGGCCATTAAAATTCAACGCTATTAGATCCTCCCTTGTAATTTCTTGAAAGAGTGTATTTATAGAGAATGAGATGGAATATGTTTCAATCCAACAGTTCTTAACTCTCTGCTGGAAAATCATTTTGCCATAAAAATTTGCAAGCAGATAGAGGAATCAGATACGAACAAAATGATCCAAATCTCACTCAAATTGGATAAGAATCGACAGAGTTATGCCTTGTCAAAGTTAATGCATTTAAAGCAGAAATTAGTAGTTGAAGAAGCTTATAACTTGACACCCTTAAAGGATATAATCTTGAAATTTTAATATGTTGTAAAGTCATAATTTGATAATTTTCCCTTTTTTTAAGAAAAAATGCTTGTAAAGTCATAATTTGATAATTTTCCCTTTTTTTAAGAAAAAATGCTTGTGGTTCAGGTTCAGTACTACAGGGTCTTTTTTATCGTGAGAAATCAATTCAGATACTGAAAGTCTAAACCCACTTCTATGTGACTGAACGATTTTTGGAAGTGCCCTGCACCCTAGAGAGAGTTTAGAACTTCAATGCCCAAACCCAACTTTCACCAAAAAAAAAAGAGGGGTGGAACTTTAAGTTCCGAACTAGTCATATGAGTGAACCAATTCGGAACTGTAAAAATCTGGACAAGATCTCGTCTTTTTTCAATTCAAATACTCAAGTTCCAAACTGGTCTTTAGAAAAAAAATTATAACAAGTGACCAAGTTTAGGACATTAAAGTTATGAACCGAGCCACTCTCTCTTTTTTTAAAGTGAAGGACTGGATTGGAATTCAGAATTGGTTCAAACTTTCACTAACGGATCTCTAACTCATAAATAAAGGGAAAATGACATGTACCACTACCTAGAAAATTCCATCCCTATTAGTTTTTGGGTTCACCAAAATCCCTTGTACTTATACTCTTTCAAATTTAAAATTTTAGGACTGTTGGCCCTCTAATTATGTTTTTTTTTGTTTTTTTTTAAATTTGATCTTTTTATTTTAGAAAATATTACCTTCCCTTTCTCTTCCGTTGCCTAAAACCAATGTGGATCCCACTCTAAAAACTTAGACCTGAAAAAAAATAATTTGTTTTTTTAACATTATGACCTAATTTAAAATTATATAAAATTGTTTGAACTTAAAAAATGATTAATCAAGATATTTGTTACTATTGTTAATGGTTATTATTATATATTTATAAAAAAAACTATATCAAAATACTTAAAAGAGATGAAATATTTAACAATTAATATATTATTATTGTTATTATAATTATTAATTAATTATAATAATTATAAATTATTATCATCAATAAAATTTATATATCAAGTAACAAAAAAATATGGATGACTAACATATGAGTTTGGCATTTTGTAAAACAAAAAGATCAAACTTGTAAAAAAAACAAAGAAAAATATAATTAAGAGACTAGTAGTCCCAAAATTTAACACTTGAGGGGGCACAAAGGATTTCGGTTAACCTAAGGTTTCAAAGATGGGCTTAGAGGTCATTAAACTTGTAAAAAAAACAAAAAAAAATATAATTAAGAGACTAGTAGTCCCAAAATTTAACACTTGAGGGGGCACAAAGGATTTCGGTTAACCTAAGGTTTCAAAGATGGGCTTAGAGGTCATTTTTCTTAAAGAAAAAAAAAAAAAGCTTAATACTTAACTTGACATATTTAAGGGTATTTTTAAAAAAATTAAGAAAATGAGATGAACATAAAATACAAAAAATTAGAGTCATTTTTTATTTAATTTAATTTTTTATTTATTTATCCTTCTTTCTTCGGTGCATGAACTTGATTGCTTGAAGGCCGTACAAAAATGACATCCACATGCCATCCTGGTTGGCTTCATAAACATTTTATACCGCACGGAGAACCACCTCCCAATACAAGAGATTAATTGTTATGAGAATGGGACGTATAGCGCGATCCGTATGATCATAAGAACAACAATAGTCATGGTGTCATCACGGTACCATCAGTGAATTGGGATGATTGGCGCAGATTTAGACACAACGCATGGCCTTTAATTCTAAACGTCTCATCAGCGTTGAATGATAATCGGATATATGACGAAATTGTTACCAAGATGATATGATCAGACTCCATGTTTGTTTTCTATCACCCCTCAATAAGATCAGGAAATGCCTCTCTCTGCAACCGAGACACATTTCTTGCTCTTATCAGAGAGATACATGTATGATCTCCCACCCCCTCCCCCTCTCTCTCTCTCTTTCTCTCTCTAATGTGAAGAATGGCCACCTTCTCTCTCTACTATGATAGTAAGGAAGAATGCTGCCCCTCTCCTCTCGCAATCTACAGGTGATCAAAAAATCAAATTGGCCTCATAAACCAAACAAGGGCTGGTTCTGAGTGATCACTAAACCGGTGAGTTCAACCGGATTAACCAAAAAAAGAAAAAATCTCAACAAATACGAAAAATATAATTTAATATAATATGTCCAAATAAAATTAAAAATTAGTCAAAAAATAGATTTTAAAAAATCAATTTGTCGAGGGTATTTTAAAAAAAATTAAAAAAATGGAAAAATATAAAATTAAATATACATCGCCAAAACATTTTCCAATCCCTCCCAAAATGATAAACAACATTAAAAAAAAGGCATTACAAATAAACCTTTTATTTTTTGAGATTTTATATAATTTTTTTTTTAAAAACCTTTCTAGATCACCAAAACCAAACAAATCTTTTATTTTTTAAGTATCTTGCTAGATCATCAAAACTAAAGAAAAAGCCAGTCCCCATTAAGATCTAGGATTGCACCGAGAAGAAATGACCTGACTCTCCCTTTGAACACGTGGCTCCGCCGTTACCAAGAGTTCCGTATTTTTTGAAACGGAGTCGGAGGTAAACAGGTCTTGCAACAGCGCATTCGCAAAGGTACGAAGAAGCCCAACAACCCCTTTTTGTGTAAGTAACGTACCCCATCATTCACTCTTCATCATTACCCCCATTTATTTTCCAACCTCTCTCCCTTCGTTCTTTTCGCACCTTCCCTTACCTTCAATTATTGTTCAAACTTCTCACTACTTATTTAAATACCACACCTCTCGCCTAAAATGTCCTTACACAAAACCAAAATACCACGAATATTTTCTCTCTCCAACATTTGTATATGTCACCTTCAAAAAAAGAGGCGGTCCCGTTGCCAGTTATACTCTCCCTTTCTTACGGGCCATTAGTGTTTTTTGTTTGAAAAATATTTAAATGTTTCGTAAAATAATATTTTGATTTTATTTTATTTATTTAAAATACCTTTATTCAGGTAAAAAGATGTAGGTGTAAGTTCCACATTGAAGAGAAAAGAATTTGTTCAGTTGTACTTAAAAGCACATATTCTCATTCAACATACTCTAAATACAAATGAGAGAGAAAGTCCACGTCCATGTGCATGATAATTCTATATAACAAGGCCCCTCCTACCTTAACCTCCTACCCATACGAGATAGACTCTGGTAACAAGGCCCCTCCTACCCTAACCTCCTACCCATACGAGAGAGACTCTGGTGTCTTATATGTGGGTTCCAAGCTCGGGACATTGTAAAATCCTTTTCGTGTATCCCGAAGAGGAATTGCCCTTCTTATGCATATCAAATACTATATCGAAAGGGGGCAAATATCAGTGTATCTCGATGACGAATTGTCTTTCTTATGCACATCAACTACTATATCGAAAGTGGGCAAATATCATCTTGAGATAGAGCTCATGCATGACCGAAAAATAGAATTGCCCTATTGTCTTGAAATAGCGCTCCTGTATGCCCGAAAACTAGAAGTATTCGAGATCCTATTTTTACAAATTGTATCATTTTCTATCCCTATTTCACCCAACCAAATTCCAACATGGGTCGCATGCCCTCCCTAGTCAACCCATTTTAATCTGTATCTCTCTCATGGGCTATCGTCATAACTTTTATCACCATCCAGCAATTGATGGGCGGTGTTTATGATGAGTAGAATACATGAGAACATGACATGACCATAGCTTTCATATGATTATAATATATTGGGTGCGGTTTGTATAGAGCTGACGCACTAAACAATAAGAGTAAAGCACACCTTCAAATAGTATCGAGAAATGTGGTATCAATACTTGAAATCTTTGTGATAGCCTTAAAATACATTTTCAACTTTAATTAGAAAATTTAAAGCTACAAAATAGTGTAGATGAGCAGATCTATGAAAACTTGAAAATTGACGGTTCAAAAATGCCTTATAAGATGCACTATTTTCAAAACTTGAAATCTATTTTCATCTTATGCCCATGCATCTTGATGTAGAGATCATCAATTGGACGACCTTCGAGCATCAAAATAACTTCTTCTAGGGAAATTTTTTAGGTGAGATCTAATTTGATTGTTTAGAGCCTCAACCCTATATAAATTTGTATGATCATGTGGATTATCCTCTTTTGACTATGTTATCTTTGTTAGTTCTAGAGAGAGAGAGACAGCTTTAGCTCATTTTACTTGCAAATTTGTGTGGGGAGAAAGAGGAGAGAGAGAGAGAGAGGGAAGGAGTGTGTGGAGAAAGAGGAGAGAGAAAAGGAGGTGCGATGCGGGGTTTTCCACATTGGCGGTAGGTTCTTATCCCCAAGAATTTGAGGTTCTTATCCCCAAGAATTTGAGGTTTCCAAAAACATGGGAGTTTTTTTTCTCAACAATAAAGTAGAAGTGGCATTATTGTAAACTCTAGTGACAATGTGGGCACTGGAGTTATTTCCCTTAACTCTCTCTCTCTACACTGCGCAACACACCCGACCAACTCGAAAAACCTTTGCATGCCGACAGTACATCTCATAATAACTACTACAAAGAGAGAGAAAGAAGAGGAGAAATCACCTCACATGTCAAAGAGAGAAAGAAGAGAGGAGAAATCACCTCAAATGTCAGAGAAAACAAAGCTTTCTCTCTGCTGTGCCTCTGCAGCTCTGTACTTTTGCACCTGATAATCAGAGGATGCAAACGAAGTAACATCTCTCTCTCTCTCTCTCTCTCTCTCTCTAGAGTGCCAACAGAAACCCCAAAACATGGTGCAGTCAAAAAAGTACAGGGGAGTGAGGCAGCGGCACTGGGGCTCCTGGGTTTCAGAGATCCGCCACCCTCTCCTGTAAGTAATCATACTACATTTCAAGAACAACTTACATTGAGAAAGAGAGAGAGACTCAGTGTGAAGGGTAGAGAGAGAAGGTTCCCCATGGACGATTATGTCGACTTGGGTGTTTCTACAGGATCCATGTGTAACAGATAGAAAGAAGACATAAGCATTTTAGAGAGAGAGAGGCGTAACTTTTTTAGAGAGAGATGAGAAATGTGGTTTTTTTTTTGTGTTCTATCGGTGCAGGAAGCGGCGCGTTTGGCTGGGGACATTCGAGACGGCGGAGGAGGCAGCACGCGCCTACGACGAGGCGGCCATCCTCATGAGCGGTCGCAACGCCAAAACAAACTTCTCCATCCAAAAATCTCCATCTTTCGCTGACTCTGCCACCAGCCCTCAGAACTCCACCACCACTTCGACTGCTCTCTCTGCCGTTTTGGATGCAAAGCTTCGTCGTTGTTGCCGAGCACCCTCTCCTTCTCTCACCTGCCTCCGCCTCGACCCTGAGAAATCGAACATTGGCGTTTGGCAGAAGCGTGCGGGGGCGGCGGATTCGAACGCAAATTGGGTCATGACAGTCGAGTTCGGCAAACAGGCCGTGAAGCCATCGACTCTCTCTCTAACTAGTCCTAGCACTTCTACTGCTACTACTGCCTCATCATCTTCTTCGTCGAATTCTTCTCTCACTACCCTTGAGGATGAGGACCGAATTGCACTCCAGATGATCGAGGAGCTCCTCTCCCGCAATGGCCCCATTATTCCAGCTCTCAACTCCAACGCCTGCTGAATCCAATTCTCTCTCTCTTCCCCCTAGTGTTTAGTGAGTCCGGACTTCTGAGTGTTTTCGTTTTGGGTTATTTTCATCTCTCTAGCCACTGTGCTTTGGGTTTTCTCTCTCTAGGTTCCATGTTGGGCACGGTCCTTTTCTCTCTCTATCGCGAGTCTCGTCCTTTCTCTTACGTGTTGAACCACACTGTTTCGTGCGTCCTCTCCATCTCTCTCTCTCTCACATCCGGAGTCTCGGGAACTTTTCTCTCTCTAGGTTGGGTCCAGTAATGTGGGGGAGTCGGCTCTTTCTCTCTCTATAATCGGTGCTCCTCACCCGTTGTAGAGGGTGGTCTTGTGGGGCGTCTGATCTGTGCTCTCTTGGGTGTGGGGAGTTTGTCGTTTTCGCTTTTTTCCTTTCTTTTTTGTTTATTATTTGCACTATTTTTCTTCTCTTTTTACCATGGGATGGGATTGTATACAACGAGATTATTTAGAAGTCACACAATAACCTATAATCATTCAACATGAATGAAATCAAATAGCTTTACCTATAATCATTCGATACGAATGAAATCAAATAGTTCGGGTGTGTTACAAAATTTGAAAAAAATAATAATTTATAACTATCTAAATTCACATCCAATAATCAAAATCAATTGTGGGACTATCTTGTATCAAAGATAAATAATCTCGTCGTATACATTTCTTTTTATTATTTGTATTACATGTTATCTCAAAACAAATATAGCATATAATTTTTGTGTTTATTATCCAACCTTAAATAATTAGAATAAGACAAAACCAAATAATTGAGATGGTATGTTGATTTTTATTTTTATTTTTTTTTGTACAGAACAAGACCTTGCTCTATGTACCTTTGTTGTCTCAAAATTATAATAATAAAATATGTTTTGGTTGCTTTATTTTCGTTGGTAGGAGGCTAGGTGCTTTCTTCATTCCATTTTCCATTATATATCTCTCTACTTTTGATATGATGCCATTCTTTTCCTTCTTTGCGGGAGCTATAACATTGTTTTCTTTGATTTATATGTTCGCGTTGCACTCAAAAGAGCATTGCATGGATAGGGAGTGCCAAATTCATTGAATATCGCCCCCTCTCTCTCTCTCTCTACTTTGATATGATGCCATTCTTTTCCTTCTTTGTGAGAGCTACGATATTGGTTTTTTTTACGAGTTATTTACGTACAGACCTTAAAATTTTAGGTAGCGTTCCAAATGTTATATTTATGAATGAAAATTACAAAAAAGGTCGATCAACCGGTCTTCTTTTATTTTTTTTCAAAATTGTCCTAGTCAACTTGAATTTTAGTTTTTTTTTTTTTAGTTTTTTTGTTAGTAGGGCATATACCAGTCAACCCGAATTTTAGTTTTTTTTTTTAAAAAAAGTTCATTAGTAAGATAATGCCTCAAACTTAAGGCACTGCAAAAAAAACTTAAAAAACAAAAAACAAAAAACCAGTTGATCGAAGGGTAATTTAAAAAAAAAAGAAGGCTTATTGACCTTAAGTGTAATTTTTGCATATAAATTTCGTATTTTGCCTAAAATTTTAAGGTCCGTAGATAAATCACTCTTGTGTATTCATATGTGCGCATTGCACTCAAAGAGCATTGCATGGAGAGGGAGTGCCAAATTCATTGGATGTTGCTCTCTCTCTCTCTACTCTCTCTCTAAAGCACAGATAGGTAGAAAGGGCTAACTCAGGACGGTCTTTCTCTCTCTTTTATTGTAAATTATGCTACGGATTGTGTTCATTTGGACGCTGAATGCACGTAAATATGAGCCAATTCTATTGTGTTCTTGCATGATTATCTTCATTATTGCAGCAGCAAGGAGGGTATAAAGCTATATTATGAATACCTATCGATTTTTTCCTTTCTACCGGTGTGCATGCATTTGCTCTCTCTCTCTTCAAAGAGGATATAAATTTTAATACAAACATCGATCAAATTTTTTCTTTCTATGTGGATCATCTATTTGCACTCTCACTCGCTCTCTCTCTCTTTCATATTATACTTCTCCACGTTTTTTTTTTTTTTTATAGCCTTATAGAGAAGAATGGAGAATCAAAATGGACCTCAATTAATTGAGAAAAACTAGGATGATGATGACTCTTTTTCATTCTCTCTCTCGAACATCACATCGATACGTTCTTTTCTTTTCTTTTTACCCTCTCTCTATGTGATAAACATGGATTGCTTCTGTTCCTTCAATAGAGAAACATGCTGTGCACTCCATCTCTTTTCGCTTTTTCATGGACTCTCAAAATCACCAAAAAGAGGGAAGATTGACACCTGCGGGATCAAGTCATTACGGTGGACCCATGATTGTCAATTAGTTGGTAATAACACTTGGGAAACAGCAAACGAAACTTAGTATATATCCTTAAGAAAGTGCAAATGTGTTTCAAACATGACGCTTCGAAGAAAATCATAAGAGATCATGAGGTAGACCGTCACATTCTGTTGAGATTATGACCGGTGATGGCAACAGTAGTTGATGTTGTCTATCTGATGTGTAATTGCATTATTATTGCAATTGCATTATTATTGCATTCCACATTGAGGATGGGACATTTTCTTGATACTACACAAAATAATGTTCATTTTAATGTTTTAGATTGTCCTTTTAAATAAATATTTCGAGGTCTTCGTGGAAGGGGTAACATCTCTAATTATGCCTTTTTTAAAGCATAATTAAGGATGTTTGAAAACCGTAATTTGCCCTTGAATCCTGATTCAATTTAGGCGAATCCTGAGATAAGTCTTGATATAACTTCGACAAAAATTAAAAACATAAAATAAAGAAAGGGGCATCATGCAAGTTAGGGGTTCCTCATATATGAATCGCCTTAACTATCAATTTTGATCAAACTCGAACGATTCTAAGCATAATAGATTTTATAATCACTATTGCCGAGGTTGGAAGGGAATCTCAATACTTTTGCTTGAGGAAGGCATATCGAAGTTTAATGAATATCTATATTGCCCCTTTAAATTCGCTGCGATGATATAAAAAGACATTGATTTCACAATCTAACATATTTTTATAAATTTTTTTAGATAACCCGAGTTTTACCCATGTACTCGGTTCTGCAAGGGGCCGCCGAGGCCGAGCAACTCAGTGGATTTGGCCTAGTCCTTGAACACCCCATATACGGTAGTAGTTGATGTTGTCTATTTAATGTGTAATTGCACTATTATTGCATTCAACATTTGAGGATGAGACATTTTGTTGATACTACACAAAATAATGTTCATTTTTATGTTTTAGATTTTCCTTTTCAAGAAACATTCAATTTGGGCGAGTCCTTAGACAAGTTTTGATAGAACTACAGCAAAAATTAAAAAAATAAAAATAAAAAAAGGGGCATCATGCAAGTTAGGGGTTCCTCATATATGAATCGCCTTAATTATAAATCTTGACAAAACTCGAACGATTCTGAATAGAAAGGAATTTTTAATCACTATTACAGAGGTTGGAAGGGAATCTCAATACTTTTGCTAAGGAAGGCATGTCGAAGGTCAATGAATATCTATATTGGCCTTTTAAATTTGCCGCCATGACATAAAAATACATTGTTTTCACAATCTAATATATTTTTATAATTTTTTTTAGATAACCTGAGTTTTACCATGTACTCGGTTCGGCAAGGGGCTGCCGAGTCCGAGCAACTCAGTGGATTTGGCCTTGTCCTTGAACACTCCATATACAGTGGACTAAAATGAGAGTTAGAAAGCTACTAATCTCAAATGTAGGGGACCATCTCTCTCTCTCTCAAGCACAATGGCGAGAGCATAAATTGGGTCCCAACAAGAAACTAGAAGGGCGGCAAATAAAATCAAACTTGAATCCTTCTTAATCACATTTATTACATCCCTTTAGTAGGTATACAAACATGGAGATTTCTTATCTAATTACCATTCTGGCATCAAACAATGTTTTTCGGGTTTAAAGATGATTGGAACTAGATTTTGTTCCCTCTAATAGTCCTTACAAGCTTCACCATCATCATGTTTATAATGGTGGTTTCCAAACTTCAAATCCTTGTATTCCTTGTCTGTATTATTTATGAAGTGTGGAATGTTCTTGCTTTCCATTTCACTCAAAACAATTTGGAGATCCTTTTGTTCATCCTTTTAAAAAATTAGGGTTCTCTCAAACCCTAATTAGGGTCCTCATGTTCTTGAAGATTATTATCCTCTAAAGGTAAGCTCTTCAAATATTTGCTAAAGTCAAGAGCCTAAATTTCTCCTGTCTTTTATTAGGAAGGAAAGTAAACAGAGCTCTTTCCACACAAGGGAGAGCACGAATTCAATTAGGTTAGAGGAATCCTTGGTCAATATCACAGATGTCCAGCGAGCATGTGATGCTTCTTCAATGAGGGACATAGTTGCAAAGCCTCACATGGCCATGGTGCTAGTGTGAAGCTAGTGTGATGGGAAGCAGACTTCGCAAAATCGAACCGGAACGGTTAACCGGATATGGGGCTGGGAGCGGTTGGAACCAGAACTTGACTAACCGAGGGAGTTAACAGGACTAAACGGTCAAGTAAATTTATTTATTTTTTTAAAAAAAAGGAGACCCTCAAAAAAAAAAAAAATTTAAAAAAAAAGATTAAGTATATACTATCATATTACATACATTTATCTTACAAAAAAAAATTGAAACAAATTTTTATATGAATTAATAATTGAATAGTATGGAGATATGCAAGACAATTTATAATTTGACATTAATTCAATTGATGAAGTTACAAATTCCAAGTAACAATGGCTAGTAGTAATGAGAGTGGCGAGGGAGATCATGGTACTGTTGTGTTTCACTATCAAGGTTTACGAGGTAAAAAATCTGAGTAAGGCCTGGTGAAGTCTGTCAGGCCGCAGTTGTGCCCCCTCGCCAGTCAGGAACATTTCACGTGGTACCCCTTGGCCAAAGTCTCTTAGACTCCTCCAGCCTTCGTGCTCTCCCTCACCCTGTTCTGTATTACCCCCACCTTGTTCTGTATTACCCCCACCTTTTTTTACGTTATGTCCCTCAACAGCTTCAATATTGTCATCATCATGAATAACCAGGTTACGGTGGCAGCTACGGCTTTGTCTCTCCCTTGTCGAGTAACTGCTACGCCTCGTCGCCTGGACTTCCTCTCAAGCCAATCTCATTGAATCTTTCTGATCTTCGGCCACCGTATCATGTTGCGCCCCTTCACATTCCTGGACGATTGGACCTTGCTAGTCATTTTCCATTGTCCCATATGTCTCATCGTCATCTTGCGCCTCACCTTCATCCTATGCATAATCATCATAGTCGGAATCCATGTCCACTGTCATACATCTTTCACTGAGTGCTGCAACATCCACATTATCGTCCATATATGCAACTGCCCCACTAAGGAAATCCTAGTCTAGTAGTGGGGTCCTTTATGATACCCACTCATCGACGAGATCCCTCCGAAAGATGTAATGAAGGTTGATCGACATGTAGTCTGTGGGGGTCCTCCTTATATGTCTCTCTCTCAATTTCAAGTTGTAATTAATGTACACCAAGTTGTGTAGAGTATGAGTTTTTAACCTATTCTGCCTCAGGGCATGTATCCACTGAAATGTACTCTAGTATCTCTCACATCCCGAAGAAGCACATGTTTGACTCAAAACTCTAACTGCAATATTTTGCAATTGCTTTGTTCGAATTTCGTGTATCGTCCACTATTGTGCTGACATATACAAACATAGAAATACTTAACAATAGAAAATAATTGATTTAAAAAACCCACAAATAATATTGTACTAAACTATTATAAGTTTTAACTTAAAACTAACCTGGGTGTAATTTTCCAACTGTTTTTTTGGCATTGTTGTATGTAAATTCCCCTTTTTTTTCCATGTACATCGTAAGCTACAAATA